TATATTTAAAATTGTTGTGTTTGTCGTTACTTCCCTTAGCCCCGTAGCGCATCCAGCTAGCTCTTAGGGTAATATTCTGATTTGTGCAGAAATGACGTAGCGCTACATACAACTGGTCATGCGAAACGTCTGCCTTTTATGCCCGTCAAGCTCCTTCAACGCAGTACCAGGAGTCTACTACAACAGAAAATAGGCAAATAGCTTGCCAAATTCTGACCTTAAAGGTAATCGATCGACGTCGGTATATTGGAGCAATATCCCCTATCAGTACAATTTACATGAACATATTTGCCTTATATTAGCAATATAATAATAATAAATGTTTATAATATCTATAGTTATAGCGCTACGTGCAGTGCTTCATAATTTACGCTATATTTGTAATCGTCTTATGGATTGTTTACTATTAACGTATATGCATGGAAACATATGAAGTGGTCTAGATTTAAAAGTAAATATTGGCGTACTCCGTTTCTTGGCGGAAGCAGCCAACTGCCTGAAGCTGTGTTTAACGCTCAGTATAATAAAATATTTAATATAGACATGCTAACTGAACACTTGATTGTTAATAACGGTGCTCTTTAAATGTGTTTTTCAACTCCGACGAAAGCTAACTCTCTTCCCAAGGCAACGAAACCTCACTGAAAAATAATGCGCAATAGCAAATCTGTTATCAGAATTTCATCGTTCCACAGCCTACTTGTCCTTGAGTCAAATGCCTATCGTCGTTGCGTCAACGTGTCGAACCTTTGTTTTGGTTCCTGCAAAGGGGTGACAGTAGCAGCGGCACACAAGCAGGCAGGGAAGATGATTTGTGTAGCACAGGCGGAGAAAAGCTTTTCAACTGATAAAGGATCATAGAGGCAAGAGCTGCTACTACTAGTTTCGCTACTCAGCTTGTGACAGGGAAAGCCGACTATCCTAGCAGCGCTTTCGTTTCTTTCCGTTACACTCAACGCCGCTAAACACGACACACTATACCGCGGAGGAAGTAGGTATGCATTTTGTTGGCATTGTCGTCATCGTAACGAAGCGATATGGGGCGTGGCAAGTCTGATACATTGGCGAAAAGACTGCTGTCTTCGCGACCGCTTTAGTCGTGCAAGTCGTACAAGGATACTCCGAGACAGTGCAACAGGGTGCCACATACATCCGGGCACAGGAACGACAAATTCTTCCTCTCTTCGCGGCCGTTGGCATCGGCGCCGGTGTCGTTCACAGAGCTGGCAGTCAGTTACACGGGGCGGTTGGTTGGTTTTTCGTGCAAAAGAATATCAAGGCATGGCCCTTTTGCTGTAGGCGACAATGCTCTGTATTGAGGCGTGTAACGTTATCTGGGATTGTCTTCACTAACAGCAACAACACGAATCGGAAGCTAGAGCGATTCAGCAATTGGCTCGAAGTGAAGACACTTATGACAAAAATAATATCCTTCTCCGTAACCCCATTCTCAAGCAAGCAACACTCGACCAGAAGCTGGTCGCTTCTGTTGTTTTTACAGGGCTTATTCTCGCTTTAGACAGTCTGCCTTGCATTCTCCATGCCCCTAATCCTCGCCAGACTTCGCCGCTCATTCGCTCGGTGACAGCTAGTCATCGTGAGACATTTCTTGCAGAAAGAAACTAACCTTGTATGTCGCAGCGAAGGCGTAACCGGCCGCACTCGGCCTTTTACTAAGTTATCAGTTCTATTAGTATTCCAGCACGCACCAGCGTGGCTCTAGCCCCGTTGCACAGTGGGTAACTGGTATTCCCGCCGCTATTAACTAATGTCAAGATCACAGACAAATGCAAATTAGAATAAGTAAACTGTGCCCTAGTATGACACTACATGATCTACGGAAAACAATACATTGTGTTAATGCCCGTGCTCTATGCATACATAAAAGATCAATACATCAGCTGTTTTTGAATACTCCTTTTGTTGGCGATTTTCGTAGTTGATCGGTGATTTGTTATAACTTTGATTTGCACATACCCTGAGAGACTGTGACACTTCAATGACTGATACTGGGCTAACTCAGCCATAAAATCTGACCTTTGTAGAATGGTAATGTTTTAAAAAACGAGCGCTTGGACAACAGCAATGTCGAAAGTGTGAAGACATCAGATCGTCCCTTACAAATACGTCCCCTTAAAAGCTCTTCCCAGAAAGATAGCATGTCAAGTTGGGTAGCTAAATTTTCTATTTCTGATATTCCGCAGTTGAAACGGCACAGCTTTGCATTCAAGCGCTAACAAATGGCTCGGGTGTTCTTGTGCAATTTGGCTACGTCAACCACTTTTAGGTATCTATGTATGTAATGGGACAAAAGAAGCAGCCAATGGTGCGTCGTATCCGTGTGAGGAACAACGTGAAAAGCAAAAGCCAAAAGTACACGACAAGGCAGGAACAAGAACTACATGTGAACAGGTCTTTTCTCGAAAAACACTGTTGGGTTCTACTTCCGAAACGGAAGCCATCTTGTCTTATTTTGTTGGATAGGGAACGCTACCGCTGTTGCTACGTTTGCTACGAGAGTCACCCGTAAATTCTAATATAAATCTGTATGATTCCTAAAGGTGGCAGCGCTTTCTAATATGAATAAAGGCGCAACTGCGATTCTACATCTAGTTTATGCGCACTTACGTGAGCAGATCCCTTCACAAGCTATGGACCGTTTCCGTGTCTGTGTAACATCGCATGTCTGATTAATACATATTTATGCAGAACGGCTGAACAACATGGGTTTTTCACCTTTGCGAGGGTACACTAGATGCAGAACTAATCCTATTCTGCCAACAAACTAAGAGGAGTATCAGTTACCCAAACTGGTCGACAATTTCCACGAGGGGTTAGGGCAAACCGCTCTAATCTACCGCTTATCTAGCTAAGCACAAACCGTCTGCGGTTCATGTAAATGCATCTTGTAAACAATAGACCCCTTTTCTAAACGAAGCTTTCAACTATCGCATACCACCAACAGTATTACACGCGGTCTTCATCTAGAGCCTGGTAATCGTAGCATAACTGAACCAGCTCACTCTAGCTAATGTCATAGGAGCCTGCAGTAGTGGTTGAAATAGCAGACTGCATATTCCATGCAATATCCCGCACCGTAATTTCCGAAGGCCATATGCGCGCAGAGTCCTCGCAAGCTGGAATGTTTTCTTATCGCTTGTTAGTGGCGCTAGTAGTATCTACTGGCATTTTCAACTATTCTCTTGTTGGCTTGCGCAAAATACTCGCTTCCAACTAGATCCCCTAATTGTCTTTCCTTCTTCCTGTGCAAATGTGAACTCCCACGGGAAATTTTCTCTTTTTACATGAAGCTAAAGTGGTAAGCTTCAGTTGAAAGGAAAGTCATAGAGGGAACGATCCGTGCAAGAGCGAAACGTCGCTTTAGGCCACGACTAACATTAGCAGAGCTGCTTTTGTGTCGGCCGGGCACACTAAGTATGTGAATCGGCGGGCTAGCTTGGAAGTCGGTTATGGTGCACCTATGAACTTCTTTTAATTACTAAAGGAACGGACGAAAACGTGCGTCTTCCGATTATGCTACCTTGATCTCAACACGTGCAACGTAATCGCTAGTACCATCTTCGCCTATTCCATAATATATTTTAAAGGTAAGATAAAGAAAAAAAAAAAGTAAAACACACTGCTCTATTTATTCGACAGTCTTCTAATATATGTTTGTTTTATTATTTTGTTTGTTTTATTTGTGTTCAGTCGACCTTGTGTGTTTTTTGGTACGCACCAACATTGTAAATAACAGGCGTCTTCCCCTTAAATATTGTACACTGTGGTTAGTTTTTGTTATTTATCTTCTGTAAAGAGATACGAAAAACAGAGACGTGGCTTTAATACGGGTTGCATGAGTAGCTTTTTATATTCTCTAATAAACTTATCCGCTGATTAAAGAGTGAAAATGGCATGACCGAGAACTACCCTGCAAGGGACAAGAAAAGAAAGTGAGACACGACAAAACCATCATTGCAACAGTCTCTGGAGTCTAATCTTCAAAAATGATTTTTCTGTTTACCGTTAACCAGCTTATTATCTGAGAGAGACTAATCTTGCATTCTGTGTCCTTGTATGTAAGTTGAATAAATATGTCATGCTGGTGCTGCACAGAGCTGGACAGAATTGTCAATGGACACGGCTTGACCTAGGTCCCCCATGACACAACCTCGCGAATTGTCTCTAGCCCACCCCTATATACGTACGTATGAAGCTCATGTTTTACGCTGCGCCGACGGTTATACTCACACGTGCGCACACGATCAGGCAGGGTCAACATGTCAACAAATGACTGCGTGCCCCCTCCCCCACTTTCGCTCCGACGACTTTTTCCTCGTTTATGTTGAATTCCTTCTCTGTTACTAGTACTCGACGTCTTCCTACCCATCGACTAGTAGCTGAGGATGGAAAAACGGGCCACTTTGTACCCTTTTAGCTGTCCTGTCCCCGATTTCCCGGTCGTCCTTGGGTTCAGGTGCACAATTAGCCTGCCAGGTCACAAAAATAACAGAACACCGAATCAGGCAAGCGGAACCCGACCGGATGATATATCGCGAACGGGACCTGACGAAGCGGTAAAGTTAGGGTATGGTTTTAAAATATCTTACTTTCAAGCTTATCGCACTTCCTGTGTATTTCATATCTTCTGAACCAGCCCCGTCAGCTGTTAAGCAGCATTAGCTGTTTCGTAACAGCTGATATGTTCAAAATCTCTAAATCTTTGTTTCCGTCGTTTTTATCATATAATATGGAGTTAGAAAGCGTTAGGCAGCCGGGAGCATAAAAATGCTGGGAGTAGTAACCAAACCGTTTCATTGGGACATTGTTTTCCGCAGATGAGAAATCTACACTAACAAGCAAAAAGGGAAAATTTTCTTAACGTCAATAATTTTTTTTTGACGTCAAAAAAATGAGTATATATACACACATATATATACATAAGCATATGTAGAGATAGGTAGGCCAACTAACTCATATAGTTGGTCTTCGAAGCTGCTCCGGTTTTGAGGCCTCCTCCGCTGCTCCAAACCCATGGCAGTTGCTTCGAGGCGTCTCAAGCGAGCCTGGACGGTGAGCGATGGCAGTGACGAAAACAGATGCCACCCACTGCGTTTTGCTTACTTCCTTTTTTTTATATTGTTTGCTTTCGTTGATCTATCAGAATGTTTGAAGGGAGAGAGGACAGCGAAAGTCAAGCCAGAGCTAAAAACGGTATATCTATACACTACTTGAATCTATTTCATATAAGGAAATACCGAAGAATTCTGCCCTACTCAGTTGCCACCACATAGCCCTTTTCTGTTGTTCTTTTCAATTCGCTTACAGGCCCTGGAAGCCAACTGAGCCCGGTGGGGTCTGTTATGGGGTCGTTTGAAAGTTTTGCTCTTTTCAGGATCTACGCTTGCAAGATTTCCTGCTTCTCCAGCACTTCCTCTCGGTCAACGATACCCGCTTCGCGATAATCATCACCCAACCGGTTACCTTTTGTCGTTCGGTCGTTTTACGACTTAACCACACCACAGACGAACGCGTACCAATAGAAATTCTTTTAGCCAACTTGAATATATTCCGAATAGGTATGACCACGCGGTTAAAAGGCGTTGGCCGCATGTACTGCATATACATGCATATACTGCACTGGCGACAACCAGATTGCTGCACAGAAATCAGTTCAATGATAACATCATAATACAAGTTGAATATAACAGTTACCCAGAAATAAACCAGCTGCTATTATATTCATCTTGTAGGATCATGACGTATCATTTCCTACCCCACGCATTCATATATACTTGTTACCACCCTTACCAATAATCCTAAGCATTTCCGTCATTGTCGCTATACGGGGACGAGGTGTTGCCTCTGCAGCACGTTATCAGTGTAATTGGTTGCAATGAAAGAAGAGCAAGTCGTCGAGGCTGAAAGTCTATTCAGTTCGAGTACGGAGGAAAGCTGCAAGTCTGAGGCCTATGATAGTTACTTTAGCTGTGAAGAGATTCGACATTGGAACAACCGTTACCATCGTTCAACGGTTGTGCAGAAGGTCGAGGTGCGTTCGTATGCCTCTCGAATGCGATCTCAAAAGCCGAGGGAAAGGTTCCGTTTCGGACAGTGAAGCAGGCGTCGCAGAATTACATAGACGGGAATATGTATACATCTATTATATATGCTAAACATTTTTTTGCATGAAACGACCTTGTAGGAATGCAGATTTCTAATGATGTATGTGTTTTGCATTTGCATTACTCCGAGCTCGGTCCATGTAAAAAAATCTTTAGTAAAGATTCCTCTACATGGCTGGAAAACAACTTACCTATCCACCATTTCCCCATGTCACTTAGCTAGCAAGGGGTTATGATCGCCCAAAAAAAAACAAACATCGTCCGGTCCAGCCAATAGCGAAATTCAATGCATCGCATGCACCCTGGAGTTCAGTCTTTCTCTATATTGTTTTGCCGGATTCGTGTCGACTTCGACACTTCGCTTCCAGGGATATGTGTCTCAATGCTGTATCCCCTGCTGTGCTTGTGCTTCTGCAGCTTCGTACCAGCCGTTGTGGGCTTGTTTTATTGCTGGACGGCGGGTGTCGCGACGGCTGTGGCGATGGCGGCGGCGGCGGCGATACAAACGTCGCCAAACAACGAGGTTTTTGTGCAGCGCATTCTCTTGCTCCTAAGTATACGTTCGCCACACGGATTTGAAACCGAGAAGACATGCAACGAGAAAGGTTAGTTGACGAATATAAATGTAGCGATCATGTTATCGATCGATAAGAATGACGGTGGCCTGCGGATGACGGCGCATCTGAGAATAGCATGATCGGACCCGAGCGTAAGAGCTCATCAATCCTGGCCTCTTCTAGAAGAAAAGACGAGACTACGGCAGCTCTAGGAACGACTTCGAATGAGATACTGGAGGGACTGGGAAAGCTGGTCGTGTTCACAGTACTAGTCAGAGTAGCAGTTATAATAGTAATAGTAGCGGCATGCGAAGCTGTATGGAAAACCTATGTTGTCACCGTCGACTTGATCATTTATCTTACGCGCACTACAACGTTCTGTTGGGACACAACAATCGTGTGGAAGTCAGTGGTAAAAAAGATCCGTGCTCTCCGACTCAATTCACTAATATCATTGCAGGCTATTTGATGTCGATTTGGCGTTCAGAACAGCCCGATAGCATGACATCAGATGTGGCCGTCTGGTAACACTCGTGACTATCGTAGTTAAAAACGCTGGTAAAAATCAGCATTGATCACAACTTGACGACGAAACCGTTTTATTGGAGAAAGCAGACATGTCGTAGGTGGATTTTGGTTTCTTGCATCATACCGAAATCAATGCCTCATTTATAACGTACAAGTAACTACATTGTGGCTCATTATTATAATTTCACTGTGTAAAGAAGAGTCCGTTTCTGCACTTGCGATGTACGATACTGTCATGGAACGCAATCTGTCACCTTGAATGATACGAGTCGTTTGCGAAACAAGCGGCAGCTATGCGTTCTTCGTATTGAACAAAAGCCGGAAGATGGCGTATAAGCTCGGGAGGATCGGCGGCCGGAGACTCCAAGCATACTAGGAAATTGCCACGTTAAACGACCCAGATTCTCGACGTATTGTGGAAAGACCGGAAAGACCAAAACGGCTTTAGCGAGGCTCGAGTAAGGGCAGTTGGTTCTGCTGGACCTTATTTTGGTGCTAACCGTTAGGTTCCTATTAGGCACCATAAATGTTTATGATACGTTATAAAAAGGATTCGTGACACGGTAATGGCCGTTTCATCGAGGGCCGGTACAGTCTGGTAGAAGAACAACTGGCTGCCTTCTTTCAAGATTCCTACGGGCCAACTATTGCATAACATCAAAACGCTATGCAGCAAATTTTTTCAAATTGTGTTTATTTTCAAATTTCTAACCAATATGACCCATGTATGTATAAGGAAATATTTTAGCCACCATATGTTGACAACCTATAAGATGCACAATTAATTCATTTGTACACAAAAAGTTTGTTTTTTGAAATTGGCCAAATAAATCAATGATCATGGTTGTGGAGTTCATGCGAATTTTCACTTATGGATACTTCTTGTCTGACCGGCTTCAGTGGAAGTTCATCTTTTCCAGGGACGTCGATATTCTCTGACTCGTTTGGATACATTTCCCAATAAACATTTGTCGATACGTTTCAATATTGATCAAGTATGCATACCAGATGGCGCCACTAGAAGCGTTTGTAAGTGTTAGGTCTATAAAGTTTGACGCCATTATTGATAAACGTCGGCTTGTGTGTGCTCTAAAATAAATTTAAGAAAAGCATGTTCTGCTTTTTGGCTATTGTAAATTGAGTATGACGGCAGAAGGCAATTAATTAAGAAAGAATAGAATGCACTATCATCTCTGTATCCTTCAGTTTAGTGGAAAATGCGTCGAACAAACAAGCGACAATACCAGCCACTCGCCTAAGCTATGTTTTTGCTCGGCATACTACAGGCAAATCCAAATCGCGGACGAAGGTTTCGCGTGATTGATATTGCAGCTCAGTTATAAAAATGATCTACATAAGATCTACATACACCTATAAAAATGTAGGGCGAGCATATTTGACAAGGTGGATTTCATTCACAAGAGTTTTAGAGAGACTTAGAGTTGAAGCCAACGAAGACTTTAGCATTTTCGAAAAAAAATACGCCAGTCTGAGTTGCAACGGTACAGGGCGCACCGTTTGTGATCATCCACCTCATCAAGAATCGATAGCTTGTTACAGAGAGACCGTATTGCGCAGCACCTGTGTGTTGACCCCACTAATGATTTAGCGCATTCTAGAACGTTTGCCTTCCGATTCCTAACCGCTTTCATAATCACAAAACTATTGCCTTAATATTTTTGATTGACCACCGGCCTCGGGTGCCTAACAACTTTGGCTCTGAAGTTTCTTTTGGAATGCCCGTACTCCCCACAACCTTCCCACGTATTCCTCAAGCTTTGTCTCGTTCCCACCTCGCATTGCGGAAGCTCGAGGTAGTGCGGTTTATACGCTAATTTATTCATGTTTTCATTGTCGGAGGTCAGCAGCAGCAGACGACTAAACGTATTGAAAATACCCACCCTCTGCATTTGAAATGCAGCCATAGCATTGTTCACACAACCAGTAGATTAACGTCTTAAAACTAAAGTCAGCTTTCTATCGAACTCCGATGTTGTATAAAACGAAGGAATAAAAATTCAACTTTGATTTGGTGTGATTATACGATATCTTCTTGTATCCGGTGGTCTATACAATAATCACTGAATATAGAATTGTCGAACTGAGAACCTGAACAGGCACCTCCGTCAGTATCGAAGTGCTTTTCGAGCCACCGCATGTGTAGACTGTTGTCGAAACTGCATGTATATGTATAGGCTGATTAAAGGCAGACGCCCTTTGTCCTATATTATCCGTGTTTACAGCGGTCAGGCAGTCCTAATAGCCGTCATACTCAGGTCAGGCGCGTAATGTAAAAGATGCGCGATATTCATCAATGCAGGAGCCTTTGTCTGTCTTCTCGCCTAAGGAGAATCTCTTCTGGGCACATTTTTATTTACTGTACAGATTCAGCCGTTTATATTTGTTAATTATAGAACTTGGTACTTTGTAAGGCTGCAACGGCAGCACCCGGTCCTCTTTGTAGCCCATAGCTGTGAGAAGAGCCACATGACTGTGATTTTTTCGAGACATATATGGTATCGTACGTAAACAAACGACAACGACGTTTGTGAGAGCTGCAGCGGTGATTCAAAAACGGTGATACACTTTACAACTAGGAGAAATACAATCCTTCTTCAAACACACAGAGACGCAATGTTTTTTCCCTCTTAAATATTAGGGTACGTTTCGCTGGCATGCTTTTACTATTGCAGGATAGCTGCTATAAAGGTAAATAATTGATTATAGCTTTTTTCACCTGGCCTAATTGGTTGGGTTACCTATATTATTTGTACAATGTCCAATTCGTCATTAGTTTAAATTAAAGGTGATGTCAACGTTTTGGTTTTTTTGCTAACCTTATGAACCTGTCAAGTAATTGAGCCGTATGATATTGAACATTAATGGTAAATATAAAGCAATGCTAGAAAGATAATCCGCTCGAAGTTCTTTCGGTGAACTAATAGCAAAAAAGTCGATGTTATGACAAAAGCCACGTAGACGAGAGGTTACGCTGCTGTATAACAAAAGTAGAAATTAAGCTCGGTCAGAGAACACACTATTTCAGATCCTACATTTTACATTCGACCCTTTTTTCGGGACATTCCGCTAGCTGCCTCTTGCCACAGATTTAACTATAAAACCCGAGCGATTCATGGAAAAAGCGGCGCTGGCATTACTTCAATTTGTTATATATCATGTATAATAAAATACAGTATTACGCATGAGTCACAGATTGCGTAGACTGTTCAGTATGGCTCAGCATGCGTTCAAGATAGCATATTATATTCCACTCACCTTCAGTGTTGATCGTTATGACATAGGTCCAATTAAATTTGAGCAAGACGTCGACCATTAGCTTGGCTTGAAATTCGTCAGACGGTACGACCCGCAAAAAATATTTGTAGAAGTCTTTTCGGCTAAGCTCTCGCGACGTTGCTGAGTAGCCAATTTGTGGGATGTTGAATAGCTGCAGTAGATTTTGTACCTGTATGGTTACAGCAGATGAGCCGGGCCCGATAATGCCCACAATGTTTTTGGTATTCTTGGCCCCACGGTGGCACTGCTCGGTAGTGGCCCCTCCTGCAGACGTCGACGTGTTGGCATCATCCCGCATGGCGATCGTGTCACGAATAAATTCGATGCTTTGCTCAAGAGCCGTTGGAGAATACCTGAACGTGTGCAAGCGAAAAATTGCAAGACAACTTAATAGGAGCTTCGTCATGTTCGCACCGTGCCAGAAATCAAATAGAGGTGACTGAGTTTTTGCATATCACGCTGACGTCCCGTCCCGTCCCATCGGGCACATAGTAAAGTTTAAACTATTTAAATTTAAGTTTAGCGTTGCCATATAATCGTTGCGAGAAGATCGAGTCCATTTCTGACTCTTCTAATCATTCTCAGTAAGTTTCCAGTGATCTGCGTGGGGCAGCGATTAATCAGCTTTCCTCGATGTGGAGATACTCTAACTAAGAATCTAGTCTACTCTTTTTCCAGTATGACTGTATGCGTCGTCCATTATTCAATTTTAAAGCACGAGCTTGAAAAGGTCTGCTCTGTTTCCATAATAGGTTTTAATATAAACAGTATCCCACAGAAATCCATCTATAATATAACTGCCGACGGGCAACAGCTGGTCATGGTAATAGTCGTAAGGAAATGCATGCATCTCTCAAAACTAAACTAGCTATCTGAGACACCGCACAACAAGTTATTATGATTTTATTCCACTCAGCAACTTTTACTTACAACTGAAACAGTAAAAACAAATACTTACAAATACGTATAGGTGTACGATCGTATCGTATACCCATGGCTTTTTAATCTCCATACCGCGCTAGTCACAGCACGTTGCAAGCTCTAGTTAGAACAACGCAGATACGCGTACAAGACGCAAAGACAGATAGCCGGTATATGCAAGCGCATTTGCCAAGGACGATAAGCTGATATGTGCCTATTTATCTAGGTCCCTCTACCATCCATGCCGTATTCCAGCCATGGCGTGAACAATGACTAAGTTAAATTACTTACAAACATAGAGCAGGATAACTTCATGGCATGTGTAACAGCTCTACATTTAATTAATCAGTAAACTCCCTAGGGAAATTTCAGCGGTGCGTCGTAACTATGGTAGTAGACATTCTATGCACTAATAGAGCCCGACCTACTATACAGAAAAAATTGTAGACGTTTCTTTTAAAAGCCGAAAGGGTAGAAAACGACGCGCTCGTTCGCACTAAAACATCGCTGCCATCGTCCTGGAAATATTTGACGCCACTGCTCAAAACTCCGATGCTCAGGGTAAAAACGCGTGACAAAAAAGCGAATTTTTAATCGCTTTCTTTTACGTTGCCGCTGCGTCTGCTGTTGGCTGGTCAGTGAGCTAATATTAGTCGTATTGGGTACTAACAGGGAAATACGACCAACGATCCATTCCACTTTCACCCTCGTCTCGACCTTCATCCCGTTCTTTTTTTTTTTACACATAATGAGACGGGGGTCAGAGTAAAAGCGAAAGTAGGCTTTCGTGATAGCTTTTCGCAGAAAACTGTAGCATAGCACCCAAAGAGCAGAGTCGAAAAGGAGGGTCAAAAAAGTTGCTACTGAGTAGGGTCCAACGAATCATTGATAATACAGCTAGCTATGGATGCCCATGATCTTTCTCCTTTACGAAAAAGACAGGGCTTTTTTGCCCTACGGCCGCCGCTGGTGAACACAAAAAACTTTCACACCAACATGAATATTCGCAACAGAAAAAGCGGCCGAGGATATCTTCAATATAGGGAATGTCTGGGATCAAAGTTTTTGTGGAATCGGATAGTACAACGACGAACATTGTCAGTCATGGTCAGGAACTTACTCAACACTTACCTATACAAACAACATATCTAGCCAAGCCAGCGGTATAAATAAGCAAGTGTCCTTGACTCATCAACTATCGATTCATCGACAATGAATTGAAATTGTCAACACATCAAACCACAACACCTGTTGTACCTTGGCAAGTATACCGAACGCATTATACTAATCTCTCATTACCGCTCGTTGTCTCCTTAGACAACAAAAACAAGAAAATTACTTTTGGGGGTGTGTCGACTTTCAAAAGACAGCTCGTTCATTTTTTTTTTTTTTTTTCGCAAGGTCTTGGCAGGAAATAAACCTTCGCTAAGACAAGTCCCTTGAAAAATGTGATATTTTTGTAAATAGCACATGGCAATATATAGTTAGAGCATTGAAATATAACCATAGACTTGTTCAATTTGCGACTCTGTCTACGATGTTTCGAGCCGGTGACAGTCCAAATATTGATGATTGAAATGTATTAAATAAGAAAAAGTCAGTATATTTATAATACTGTTTATCGAGTGTGCCTCGTCTTATAGCATTCTTAATAAGCATATGCCCTGTACCGGAACAGTACAGCAAATGCGCTCAACAGCATTTCCGTGTTTTCAACCTTTTCACTGTCCCTACGATGGGCACATGACCAGATCCCTTAGGTACGCCGACCCATATCAAAATGACACGCTGATAAATCTCGTCGGTTAACGACGACTGTCCTTTACCAAAGCGCATATAAGTACAATGATTAGCCATTTTAACTATGGTTGACCTGATAACAGTTAGTAGTTTAACACGTCTGTGGGCAATGCATTTACCACTTCTACAAAAAAGAAAAATGCTATACTGCCATACGCATCTCGTACAAAGTATATGACGTTCCTAAATAGCAACAGTAGAAAAGAGAACTACGTCAGGCAATACGGGGGGAAGGGGGGCCAAAGCTATCCCCACTTGGCACTTTTCTTCAAGTCCCTTGGGTCGACAAACGATAACCCGGGCACTATCGACACCCATTGCTTAAATACAGAAAGACAATGGAAAAAATATTGAGCCGATTGTAACAAAGGAAAAACATTACCATCAAATATCTCACCTTACCCAATTATTTACCAGTCACTACCAGTTGTGTACGTTGTCCATGAGTCAGAGAAAAAAAACCCATTGCTATACTCATATTGAAGGGCGCTTGTTGGGGATATCAGATGGCGGGAACGGTATGAACTAACAATCAATGGACACTGATGAGAATGATTAGCTTCTAACGGAACAGCCGCACGAGAAAAGCGGAGATCAATAGATTTTCTCTCAGTACCACTACAAAACAGAACCGATTGAAATCGTTGCTTGTCTTGTATTTACGACCATATAAAGAACACAATTTAGCCATCTTTGATCCTTTATCCTAGACGTAGTAGAGTTAGTGTGCTTAGTGCCAGTCAAAATCTATATAACCTAACTAGATACTAACTGAAATATCGCCTGGCTACATGGATGACGATAACCTTCCACAATAGAAGCCTGATTAAGTTGAATTTGGACAAATGAAAAGCAGTGCAGAGGATATGGATGCCCCGTCAGGTTTGTGCTTATTCGTGTGTAGCTGGTTACTACAGTTCCATAGCCATAGCGTGAATGCGGTGTACATCTATCGATTCGTATTCCAAAACTTATTAGGTTCGACCGCAGCTTCCCCGTATACTTTTGTATTCTCTATCCAGCAAGCCGCTTCAAACGACGCGATTGGCGAAACACCCGCGTGGGATGGTGCCAGATATAAAATACGTGTGGGTGTTTTGCAGGGAAGGCACAGAAGAGATCGTTCGAACCGAAAGGTACTTCATGTCGGAACAGAACGGATTACAGATTGATCGATAATCTACTAATGTCCGTACTAACATCTTTGCAATCGTTTCATGATAACGTTGTCCATGGTAACTGTTTACCAAAATGAAGTCAAATTTAGAAAAAGACAAACATCATTTCCGAGCACGGTAACGCAATGGTTGACAAATGCAGTTTCGGTAATCAGTGAATTTCATTCAACTTGCCAATTAGAGTAGTTAAATGATATTATCGGCCTCTCACTTAAATGTCACAGACAAATTCCTGAAGTTACTAATAAATTTACACGTTCATTCTCATGCGCACGGAATTTAACTGTGGCTTTTATCGATTGTTGTTAAGTTCTTCAATGCCTGGGTTGTAGTTTATAGTTAGTACGAATGCCGCCAACGAAAGAGTGACAGCCTAGGGCGTTTAAGTTTATCGTTGCCATTATACTGGGGCTCATGTTGTGCGAATTAGGCATTCCTTGTGTATGTAACTTGTCAATCGTCCGTTATTATTAGAGGCAAATCTTCACCAGTTCTCTAGTATCTATGCACTTTACGGCCGCAGGATACAGCTGCAGCTTAGTTAACCATAGCGTTAAATTATCAAGCAGATAGCAAATTACGTCCCGCCTTTTTCCGTTCTAAAAAATAGCCAAACGGTATGTCACCCCACTGTCATATACCGTCTGCAGCAGTCTATGGGCAGTCCATTGTCAATTCCTAGTAGCATTCTGAGTGCAATAGTCGCTCCTGTCTACGTGCTTTGTATGTGAGAAGCTATTTTGCCCTCCTAATTTGCCTTGCAGTCTTGTCCCAAGTAAAAAAAAACAGGACAATCTACTAATGGCTATTTATACGAGCCTACTTCCGAAATGGGACTCTGTTTTCTAATCATTCGTTCCAACTCGATCAGATGCCTATCGAACTGAGGCAGTTCTATTAGTACCGCTATGAAGGAAAATGTTTGTTACGTAAACATGCGCCAGGTTGCAGATCGATAGCGAGCACGTACACCCGAATTGCAAATGTACTATTAGGCCATCTAATCAAATAGGTGCTTATAGTTCATACAGACTTTTATATGTGAGCCTAAGTTAATGCTTTAATAAAGTATTGTTTCATTTAAAAACTAAACGTAGCAACAGCGTTTATCTGCTTAGCTAGTCTAGATACTCTAACGCAGGCATTTTCTATTGCACTGACCAGCAAGAATCGCGGATTTCGATGCCTAGTGTGATATTCGGAAGCAGTCTGGGGTTATTGTTGATCTCGTCGAGCGTCTGAAACGCTGCTTCTACGCGATGAATACCGTACTGTTCGCGAATTACTCCACAGGTTCGCGTCTGAGCGTTTTTGGCATCTGGAGCTTCGCGAATTGGAAATAGCGCGCCGATCGTTACGTCACCAGTGGCCGTGCCTGAAAGTAAGTATTCACCGCATGAGGCAGCAATTGAGAAAAAGTGACCGCGTGCATTTCGCCTCGTGCCATCCGTTTTCCCAATTCTATATAATTTCTCTACATACGCTCTATAGCATAATACTGTTATAAGTCCCTAATGGTCAGCCAGACTGCGGTCATAGTACACGAGACTAGCAATCACATATAACTATATAGCTTACCGATAAGTTTCTGCGGACTTCTGTTCGCCATAGAGGACGAGGTCTGCGAAGCCAGCAGGGCAGTGAAAAAGGTTATCCGGAATAGACCGAACGCTGTCAGGGTGTTCTTGTTGTAATTGCCGTAGCAGCAAGAGCCGTTGCTGGTATTGCCTGTTCTGCTGTTGTTTTTCGTCGCAGTCGTAGTCTTCGCCGTCGTAATGCCGTTACGTCGTCGGCTGTTGCCCGCCGTCCTTCGGAGCCGGGTTGTTGACGAGCGACGATGGAGTAATAGCTTTGCGAGAAGCTTCGCCGACGTTTGGTGCCTCCAACTTGAAAAAGCGTGGTTGGTACTTTTCTTCTTATTGTTGCCGTTGTTGCTTTTGTTTTGAATTTTCGCTACTACTGTCGCTGCAATCGTTGCCGTTGTAATCGTGCGGACGACAGCAGCTGAGATAGGCCATTGGGTAAACCACTGCGGGCGCCACTGAGTGAAACATTGATGGGTTCCTTGCTTCGGCTGCTGCTGCTGGTGTTGATGCTGGTATTGTCGCCTTCGTCGACATCGAGATTTCTGCAGGCAGCTGAATGCGCCACGCCCAAGATACCGGCGCCGGGCTGTAGCCACATACTGTCTGGCGTGGCTGCCGACTAATGCCGAACTCAAAGCATTCGAAGCAGCGGGCAACGGCAACGATGTTTCCGATGCCCTCATCGACATCATCTTCAGCACCTTCGCCATCAGACGCCCACTCGCCCATAACCATTCATTTTTCCTGGAAAAGCCGCGTTGTTTTTCCGAATGCGAGGCCACGGACCCATATGTGAAGAAAAACGAAGCACATGAATCAGAAGCACATTATAACTCTATGTGTATATAGACATTATGGATGTAGTCAAGAAAGCTGCGATCATCGCTTATTATAACAATTTCACGTGCTGATAGAGCACAGTGTGTAATAAGCCATTTTAAAAAATAGTTAAACAGGAAGACTGACTGGGGCATAATGCTCCACCGGGAATCGCTACGTTACCTGAAAATGGAGATTCTAATTACATGAAAAACCGGAGGGGTAAAAATGCCAGTAAGATAGGTATAGCGAATTATAAAAATGGAGATACAATAAACTGTATCTTGCTCGAGGAATCTTTGCTAACGTACAAACACATTCGTATACACATTACGAGCTAGTATTTTCCTAGTGTACACTATTGGTTTGAAGGACTCAAAGGATACTAAGGAAAGCTCATGACGGAGCCTCCTCTCTAAAAAAGCGTACGGTCATATTTTAGCACAGATCTCGCTTAGGACTATGTCGCGTGTTAGCGGCAATATGCTGCAACGCCAACGGCTTTTAAAAATCTGAGGAGACGTGAATCGAGGCTGCAGACAAAAGGCTATTCAGCGTCCTTAAAAAGAAACTCTCAGCGATGTTTCTTGCCAAAATAGGACTATGGTGCTTTCTACGAAATGACAGGACAAGACAACCTTAAATATGTTCTGCATTCGTTTGTAAAGTAAAAGAATACTGCAAAATCGTCAGGTGGTTGGCAGCGGGCAAAAGATGATTTGCGAATGGAAAAAAAAACAGCATTTAACAAGACTATATATATAGAGACATACAAGGAGTGCTTTAGAAAATTTTTTGGTTACTTGATGTAGAGGTCTACCAGTTGGTTAGTGTGGCGGTGGATTACTCTAGCCATGATAGTCGATTTGATCCAGATCTGCTTTGCCAATTTCAGCTTAAATCTAATGTAAGGTCTGTCGTAAAACTTAAGCACAGTGTTATTGAGCTAGGCATACTTGACTCGCCAATCCGGATGAAGGCAGTTATAATTGTTCACTTCTTTCCGGGAAACTCTTTTGTTTACCGAAAGACCCAGAAACATAATACGACAGGTTTATAATAAAGCAGGAATCATCGTGCTGCAGTCTAGCACGCTGCAAGCAGTTAGTTGGCGTAGGTGTCGAAAAGTAGGCACGCTTCTTGACTACTACAGGTCCATGTCATATTGGTATGTATATGTAGGACGTATTCTATATCATGCATTGGAAACGCCTGCCGCTGTGGGGAATCCACGATACCAGCCACCTCCGACTACTGGTTTGTTGTACACAGCTGTTGCTGTGATACAGCGTAAGGTATGCCTGTTCATGAAACAAGGTCCGAGAAGAATAGATCTCAAAGTCTACTTAATTGGTAGGGGGTTTACTTTGTAATATTTCACAGGGACAAGGGAATTATCAACGAAAACATGCGGCGAAAGTATATTAGACTTTAGTTTTTTTTCATTTTAACCAAACTTAAGTTTTTTCAAAGTTTTTGTAGGTAGTTTTATAGAGCTATTGACGACACGATCAAAACTCGGCAAGTGAAGAGGGGAAACTGTATCCGTATTATTTTTTCCATATAGCACGCTCGTTTATGCGTATTCCTTTATACACACGTTATGCGAACCAGACGACTTGTTATTATAATAGCGAAATATATGGATGCAACTCTATTTGGTCCAACTTCAATTGGCCATGTTATAGAAACAGACGCTTACAGTGTTTAGCAGGCCTTAGTAATTACAGGCGGAGCCAGCATACCCATCATTTTATGTAGAAACGTACACGATTTCAATTTTGTGAGACAGAGATAGGATGACATTACAAATCAAACAAATAATATGATTATTTATAAGCCTCCTTTAATACACTACATGTGTATTTTGTTAATGCAAATCCTATGTAGATATCCTAAGAAACGATAACCCTAGTTCTAGAGCAAGCGAAAACATAATTTATTTTCGAAACTCTATACAAACATCTCAAACTAGTTAAAAGCAAAATGCCGATGCAAAATCAAAGCTCGATAATTAACTATTTGATAGACTGGTCATTGCGGAGACGTGTTTCCTTTATTAGATACCATATTGTACAATAGGGCCTCTAGTATATTCGGTTATAAACCTCCCTTGCAAAAAATGTATGTTATCAATTATATTACAATAGCTTAAACGCGGCCAAATGGGATTATAGTTATTATATCAATCTGACCTTGTTTACGGCAGCTTCCTATAATATGATAGGGAATTCGTATTTGCATATTAAGTAAGCCCAAGCTACACTTTTCGACTCATCGGGAAGGCTGTGTGTGTGAACTTAACGTTATCCTGAGAAGGCTTTACATTAAAATATTCGTCGAAGACTCTTATAGCCTAATTTTCGAAAGAATGTCAGTTGAATAAACCTATGTCTTTGGCCCCTATCGCTTTGCTAGATGGGGTCATATGGACCATTATTTGGGCAAAGAAGTCAATTATTCGACGAAGTCAAAGTTCACAGAAAAAGCATCCCGAAGTTGCATTTTGTTCGAGAAGCGAAGAGGAACAATAGCAATCTGTACACCGTTCCCCACGGCTAATATGGTCGCACTGAAGCCTATAGGATCGTTTTGACCTATGATCGTGATTATTTACAATGCTTTGCCTGTGTCAGTAACTTCATTTCGTTCGATAGATGCGCTGTGCCGTTAAAGTTATTAAGATCTCTTCGAAAACAGCCCTGTATAACGTAACAGTGTGGAAAAGGAGCCAGATTGTATAGAAAGCGCGAAAATACGATACCTTAGCTTTACATGCATTTGATTCATACACATATACGTTTTCCTGTCGTACTCTTCCCCAATCTCTTGAACATAGTTTCCCCGACATCCGATTCGTGCGTGCTCTAACTCCAGTGATTCATTTAGCCCTACCTGATCCTGGCCCATATAGCCTTCAGGGTAGGCATTCGTTATTATGACCTTAATAAAACGTACCCTTTAAAGTTTAAAATTGGAAATATAATTTCGCAGCAGGTAAAACCAAGTTGGTGATTTGCGTCTTTATCATTCAATAAAAGTTTGGTTAAAGGCGTAAAAAAATGCTTAGTTATCCCATGCAGCCCTATCTTTTAATGGTTCGATCATATAGTGAGAGAAAGAATCTCACTGACGCAAATCGCATTAAATTTCTAATTCATGTACATCTTATCAGTTACGAAAAGTTGATAATATTGAAATTCAAGACCGGTGTTTTTTTTTTTGCTAGGAAAAAATCAATGGCCCGTATAATTTTACCTATTTATTATGCTGATAAACTGTTATAACTGAATAATGTTTAGACTGGTTGTAGACTGGAGTAGTGATCATTCTTCAATGAATATTGGCGATATTCCTTCTCATTTTTCGCACGCTTGTCTCAGCGCTCAGCCGCTGATGCTTCCATATGTGAATTTTCTATTTATAGTTTCTAAAAAGAAAGCTATAGTAGTGTATGGTAGCCACAAGTTGTCCTCCTTAAGTCATGGAAAGCTCCGTGATGATTTAAACTGAGACTGATTTAGAAAATAGGCGGGTTGAATCATTATTCAATTTGGAAAGCAATTGGGACATGGAGATGAAGCCTGGTTTGTTATCAACGAAGCACAGGCTACGTGCTCTTGATCTTCATGCCAACGGTATACGAGTCACCTGAGATAGCTGGCTGCATCCGTCTCGTTTCGACTTCGACGGGTATTTATAGTAGCAGATACCCCTGATGCCCATTGCAGGTATCATCATCACCATGCGTCCGAGCTTACTACCGCCGAACTCGAGGACGATACGGATCCCTTATCTGGTTCTTCTACGGTTAATAGTAAAGACTGAATCATACCTCATTTATAAAGACCGTATGCTTGTTGTGCTGATTATACCCGTACCGCAGACTGTATGTAAAATAGACCACACGCATTTCAACTTGGTTTGGGGTCGAGTTACGGGGGACCGATATCTTACTCAGTTTCCGCATTTTCAGTATTCGGGTTATGATCCTATAAGGTGTTATGTGTGAAATGTCAGCTTTGGTCAACACAACCCTTAGATTCGTAGCTCTGCTTTCGTGGGAAGCCTATTCGATTGCGGCAATGCGTTTTTCCTTCCGGTCCCGACACCTTTTTGCAGCTTTACAACATTCCAATTTCCGTTCCTGAAATTTTTGCGCCATTCGGGCACTGCCAGTTTCCTTGCCTAATGTTTTCGTCAATTTTCAGCTCATTTTCGCGACCTTCGAGGAGCAAAAAGCTTGACCACTGAGCGTGATTTGCACTCTGAACTTGAAAATTATTTAACTTCTAAAGGCCGCCATAGTTTAAAGGTTATTATCAGGCTTAAAAGACTCGCTTATAACAACCTAATATAACACCTGCCAAGAAAATGGCATACAAAACAGTATCATTAGATAGTCAATTATCTATCGAAAAAAAAAAGGCGGGGAAGGTATCGATTTTTCTGACGGAATTCAGAAACGAATTTTGTTCTCACAGCTGTCACATAACTCTCGCAATAAACAATGTAAATGGCAAAAAAATTATGTGAGAGATTGAATTATTATTAAACAATATAATGGATGGTTCTTGTAATTTGGTGAGCTACTGCATACCCAGTTCCTGATCCAACGAATTCTATTAGCTTGTAAACAAAAATGATATTGCCAGGATCGTACAACCGTGTTTATAATTCAGCTAGAGTCAAATGTGTTTGATTAGATTTATCTTACTTGAATATGGTGTTTTCTCAGGTCGTCTCACTCATATTCCAACGTCGTCAAGCGAGACGTTGGAATATGAGTGAAACAAAAAAAGGAATAGCGTCTCAAAAGGTGTGGATGGCAAGGCAATCGATGCCGTACTATACTGTTGCTAGCAGCCAGTGGCTTTCGTGCCCTTTTTTTTTGTAGTGGACTTTGCTTCCAGGTTTTCTAGTTTCTAATATGAATGGCGCTCGAGCGACATCTACTGGTAATGCGTCTAATCTTACTGTTGCTACAGCTGAGTGACCGGAATTACAATAAGGAACGGATCTATCAGAATTATATTCTGGAAGAATTTCGCTTTAGAATTATCTATTAAGCTTAGCTACGAGTAGATGCATTGGTCATAAAATTAAAAAAAAAAAGGCAATCAAGCTAAACGCAGCTCAGATACCGTGAACAAAAAGGTATCTATTTGCGTGTATTTAGGATATGGAAGGTTGTGGGTAGGTAGGTACACTTGACGTATCTGGTTTATAAGCAAGGACAGAGAGCAAATCAAATTCACGTGACGATGGTCCTATAAGAAACAAATCAGAAAGCTATAATTCAGCATAAAATAAAAAATGTTAACTAATATGAATTATTTCTATTGCCTTATAGCAACAGGTACGTTGCAGATAGAAACATGGAGCTGAACTTTTCTAAGGAGAAAAGTTCAGCTCCATGTTTCGTGCATGCGTTGATCTAGCGTGAATTAACATCACGCACAAGGAAAAGTACTTTATTTCTGGATTTGAAAGAGAATCACTATGAACCCGATGTGTTTTAAAAATTAAAAGTAGAAACAAACATGATAGTAAACCAAGATTAGCACCGAAGCCGGTCCATGACGTGCCTAGACGCGTGTAAGCTCGGTGCCTTACCAGTTATTCTAAATACGGAATAAATGATCAGCTCTATTTTGTTCGTTGAATTTCAGAACCGCTCGTTTATTAGCGTATATAGCTAGGGTTGGGTTGTTAAGTCTGATCTATTCATTGCTGTTTTATACTTCGGTTATTTACTTCATACGCACGATCTGTTCGAGATTAGTAAATGGGTCGTGCAGAAAGTGCAGGTTTATGTATAAGGTTCTCTTTTTTCCTGGACGCTTAAATTTGCGAGTGTTTGTACGTTTCTCAGGTTGCAAAGATGGGTATTCTGTGGGATCCGAATACTCACAGGTGCCGCGCGTAGCTGGTGACTCCTCTACGTCTTATCAATTTGCTAATGCTTGTTGGCTTTTCAACTACGAGTATATCGTCAACGCTAGCTACCTTTTTTAAGGGTTTGTTCGGCTGGAAAAAAAGCCGTTTGACAATCCCTCCTGCCGTTGTCCTGATGTTGATGCGTGGGTGCTAATCAACGGAGAAGTATAGGCATGCTAGCAACGTGGCAAGGAGCTTTCTTTCTCTCGTCGGTACGGCTACAGCCGAGTAGAATATTCTATTGAAGTGACAGTAGTAGTCGTTATAACCTTTGGCCCCACACATTTTATTGTATAAGGAAGGAGACGGACAGCAATATGGCAAGGAAGAATAGCGTGAGGAGAAGACCACGCTGGACATGGCTCTTTGGTAGTTTTGCTGTGGATTGTCTCATTGGTGGGCTCGGACTGCTATTCGTGAGACTCGACGCCCCATTGAGCAACGGGCTATCACTGCGAAACTCTAGGTCAGGTCAAATTAAATTGTTGTCCCTAAGGAGCTGGTGTTGTTTGTGAGTTCATGCGTAGCCCGTAGCTAATGAATGAAGCTCAACGTAAATTCACCTAGGACGCTTCGGCGAAGCTTCTTCGATACCGGACCCTCCCTTCCGTCGATCCGGTCATTATGTAGGCTCCGCTGCTGCTCCGAGGCTTACTGCCGACAGCGTTGTACCCCCGCCGCTTATGCATACCACTGGCCGTCGCCTGCAAACGAGACCAACAACAAGAATAAAACGTACAATATCTAACATTGTTCGATCAGCAAATAGTACTGCTGCTGTCACAGCTGCCCCTAGTACCTTCACCAGTATGACGATTATCTGCTAGCCCGACCTTACTCATCTGGTAACTGCGAAGGCCACCGTCGCAAAAGTCATAGTATACGTTAGTCCCAGTGCGTATGCAAACCATTGAGTCCTGCAATCTGTCTAACCCATGGATTTATTCGGCAGAAGTATGCTTTGACAGCAAAATGCGCTTGAAATTTTTCAGGTGACGAGACATGCGACAATAGAGAAAAATTCTACGCCATCAGCATCAGTAACAGCGAAGTAGCCTTAAGGACCAGGCTGAATTCGAAAGCAAAATTGTTAACGTAACAGAGAGAAAGAGAGACACGAGGGGCCTAGAAAACGGACGACGACTGCCCTCGTTACCGCTTGTTGGATACGCGTAAATATGAACATTGACATCATACGAGCCGACGATAGAAATACTACTGATTAGGAAATACGTAATGCGACGTTTTGGCAAATAGAGCCGTAGCATCTTCCACGTTTCAACATGTAGAAGTCCTTTAATTCCAACTCTATGTAAAAATTACTTACCAGCTACCTCCATCCTCGTATCAAGTGCCGATCAATTGCAATCGTATCGACTAGAAAAGTAGCTCCAATATTGCCACTACTTAGAAAGCTATTCATACTACTCCTGTATATGTACGTTAAGCATGTATGCTGCAATGGTAAAGAAAAAGGCGTAAAAAAGATTAGTGAGTGAAGCAAACCGACGTATATACTAAAAAGGAGCGAAAAAGAAATCTAGGAAAAGCCAAGACACAAATGGGTGATCCCATAGGTATGGCAGGCCGTCGGCACAAATCGACACACGATCGAACAGCAAGCTCCACCTACGTGCTGCTGCTCGAAAAGAAAAAGACTAACGCACCGTGCCTATAGTGGTAATATGCTTTAGCTTTGAATAAAAATCCTCTCGTTTCCGGTTTCTATCCTAGCTGTGTGCTAAACAGCAAAAAAAAAAAATGAACTTGCCAGAGTTGAGTCTATGGGGGCGGAAACGCACTGCTTCGATTACTACGAATACAGCCAGCCTCAACAGTACCCCACGGACCCGCTGATGCTGTTATGACTGCGGAGAATAACGAGTAAGTACATCTAGTAATGCGTATTAGCCCTGTCGGATGCGCTTGACTCACCACTAGGCAAATGAAGGCGGAACAGGCGTCAAAAACGGCGGTAGCAGCAACGGCGAGGGCACATTTCTTTATGATTTCACGGCTCCCATCTGAAGCCTACCCTACACAGCCCAGTTAACGACACTGTGAAGGGATATTTCACTTAAGGCATATCTGCGAATGTTGTTGCTGTCTCCTGAACGTATTCCGTTACCCAAATCCTTACCGACCTTACACTTCTCATACATTTTTGTTGAGAGGTAACTGTGGATTAGTTAAAGGACTACTACTAGTACTATCCCCTACCGAAATCGCTACTACAACAATAATAGCAACAGCAGCAGCAAAGGTAGCCTACACAACCATCTTGTCTGCTCCTCTTCGTCTACAATCTCATTCGTTTGTCCGTCAGTTAGTTGATGGTTAACTAGCGAGCAGAAAATGAGCAAACCTTTGCCAGCCAGTTGTGTAGAAGTGCTGCACAGTAGCTCTAATGGCCGCCGCGGAAATGTCGGCAGAAGACTGCAACCGTACCAATGGCAACGAAAACTAACGAGCGAAGAAAAAGCCCTAACTCGAGTATTTTAGCAGACGAGTAACCCGCACTGGCTGTATCCCCGAAGCTGAAAAAAAAGCGGCAATGGCCACATTGTTTTTGAAAAGAGGCACATGAGAAGGGTAGCCCGCGAAACAACGAAGAGAGGCTGGGGATTACCCGACTCCGTTTTTCCAAGCGGTTCGTTTCGATCCTCATCACGAAGATCGGAACGGGATGATTGGGAAACAACCGGGGAAGAAACTATGAAAACTTCAGGACGGTAGCGTTGTTACCGCCTCAGTTGCGACGCGAGAACTCACATTTTCCCCGCGTCGGCTGACAACTACTAACTACTATCGAGACGAAGTACTCGACGCCGCTGTTACCAGCGTAGGCGCTAGCAGGATACAGATGGTGCGAGAAAAATCCGAGAGAGACAGGCCACAGACAATGAACAAAGGAAAGTGGCCATTTTCGACAGTAGGAGAGGTTGGGAACGCGAATAATGCGGTGGGGGTGAACCGGGAGAGGCGAATACATAAGGCGAGTATGCACAGGCAGGAATAGTAGCAGCAGTCTCGTCTGGTCGTACGAAGCATATCCGTTTGGGCCTGCAGCTGCCAGCGAATTCAGCGCATCGTTATCAGCGTCATTATCAAACACATATGTACGCGTGCGATGGCATCGCTAAACGAAGGCATAAGGGGCTGATTAAGCGAAGTCGCAGTGCTTCTGCGACTGATGAAAAAATAGCGAGTTGTTTAGCTACGTACCTTGCTAGCTGCAAACACGACTAGCAAGCGTAAGTCGTCGCCGCTCCTGCTAGTTACAGTTAAAAGAGGGTAAACCGATAGAGTAGATGGAGAGCTATTGTATTCACAGTAATGGCGTCTAGTTATGCTATGGTTGAGCCGCCATTATGATAGTCATGTGTGATGGCCTCAAACCTATCGGCTAATCATCATCACTCTTCTAATAGACCTAACACGAATGACTACCAGTAACTGATAATACCACAATAATGTTAAGGCGTTGTCGTTTTTAGCTCTTCAAGCTTCGAATTTTATAAACTGATGCTTAAATATAGTTAAGACTAAATAATAGTTAAGACTAAAATAATGTGTTATTCGATGAAAACTTTCGTACTTCTACTTTATTGGTTAATGGATGGCACATCGTTGGGTGATTGGGTGCGTGTAGTTGAGATATTGTACACGCTGTATGCGCGAAAAGGCGGCGTATCTTGTGTGTAGAGGTATGTCACACCTATATAACTCTAGGAACCGAGTAATCTCTCAGTTTCCAATACGTTTCGCCATTTTATAGAAGTCATATGCTACAGAAGTGCTTGTGCCTGCAATAGCGACAGTCATATAGCGGTTGTATTGACAGAATAGTAAAAATACTAGATAAACACTCGCAGATCCAATAACTTCTGCTTGCAGGACTATGGAACGGAGCTGTCGTTAACCCCACCGCCTTCTTTCCCTTCACAGTATCACACTGTTTCTAGTTATTTTTATAGGAATTTACTCGTCTAGCCTGCAAGTCACTCTCGATCACTGCGCCCTAGTCCTGACAAAGGAAAAGAGAGAGTTGTACGATCAGGGCATGCCGAAGACGAGACACCATGGAAACGTCATTTCCGAGCTAGGGTCAAAAATTAGAGCGCGAGTTAATTGATCTTTCCTTACCGTCTTCTGCTCTTTCCCCTCCAATCACACTCATGTCCACTCTTTCTTCACTCTCTCTATACGGTGGACAGAACAGCGGCTCCGACGGAGAAGCTGCCGCCAGTCTCGAAGGATAGATTGGCTGGACGACGAGTTTCAGTTTGCAGTGCCAAAAGTCAAGTCATAGGCGCAGTTAATAAGTAACTACTGCTATTAGAACGGGTTCGAAAGGAGCCGGAAGCGTTTGGAGTCGGGAGTTGGAGCCCCGCCAGGGACAGGCTTACTATCCTTAAAGGTTCGTTGGTGAGACTGCAAGTCAGACGGCTGGTTAGAAAAAAACAACACTTCAAAATAAAATCGATCTGGACTATGGAGCGAAGGCGCCAGGTAGCAAAACGGTTCAATCAGCGATTTAAACAGTTAACTGCCATCTATTTGTTTGCTATGTAAGAATTGCAATCTTAAAGCAAGAACGTTATTCTATACTTATGGAAATTGGCATATCACCATGAATCCTCTAAAGTAGAGCCCATCACTTTGTCCTCGTTTGCTTATAGTACATGTACTGATCAGTTTGATGGTAGGGAGGCTTTTGTTTCTTAATTAATCTCACCCCTCGTTGTAATGACCTTCATCTCAAATAGGTATTGGCATGTCCGTTCTATTTCGCTTATCGGCTACTAAGCCAAAAACGAATTTAACAACGATATAAGTGCCTGCGCGTAGAGCTCTCATTAAGTGACTACAAAGTGACGAAAAATCACAATGGAACTTCTGTGAATGAAGAAAGCAGCTGTGACTAACGACGATGGACTAATGGTTTGCTTTTACTAATACGTAGCTTTTATAAATGCATAGCTCAAATAATAGCGTGCGGACTAGGCTGCCGCTAAACCACCTTTTCCTATAGATTTAATCGACAGGTTTTTTTTTTTTGTTTTTTGAAAATGCATTACAGTTCCTGTAGCACAGGGCTACAGCTGATTAGGTAATGAACATTAATACGTTTTCTATGTCACTTTGGACCTAGTCACTTTTTTGGAGCAATTAAGATTTTAAAGTTCTCCTTTTTAAGGAGGATAAGGCGCTGCACGGTCTCCATAACGAAGGTCTCAATAAAAGTCGCGTTTGACAAGTAATTAGGGATTACTGTTCGCTAGCAACTAAAGGCCTTGTTACACATTGCCTGCAAGGGAGTAATCAGCTTTAGGGTGTATCACTTTCGCTAATCATAGGGTTGATTTTGTATTTGTCTGTGTGCGGCTGGCGTACGTTTTAGTACATTTATATGCCGCTGTTCCTACTTAAAACAATTTCGAATTTTTCGAAATTTTACAGAATGCAATTAATTGGAAAAATGTATCTCTTGTTGCATACATTTGATAACTACCGATGTATATAAGTTACGAGAGACATATTATTTAATTCTGCTAGATTGTTTATTATTAGATAGCGCTGTTAGGTAACATTTGTCACCTGACAATTGTAAAACTAATGTGGCCAGGTCTTTACAGGCAGGAACACAATGAAGCCTAAATATTTTTTTGTCGAAAAGGTCAATAACAAACTACATCTGGTT